GCCCTTGATGGGCCAGTTGTAATGAACTATGACTAAACTGTTTTAACATGTCCTCTTTTAAACAATGAGAAGAACTACCATATATTTTCATGTACAGTATAATTTGATCTCGAGTATAATACGATCAACATTTTTTTTAGCTTAAAAACCATTAAAAATCTAATTCTCAACAACCCGTGTATAATACTACCCCCCCCACACATACACACATTTTATAGATGATTTTTAGGGTTAAATTTCTAGTATTATACATGAATAAATACAGTATATTTATCTACATTAATCACCTTGTTCAGGATCATTATCATCCTGTAGATAAATGTGTTGTGGGACATAAAAAGCAGATTTTCATATATATGTTCACTCCCTGATTGTCATCCACAGTCTTGTATAAAGTACCTCAAAGTGATATTTGAGTAAAAGTACAAGTATCTTATCATAAAAATACTTTGGTAAATGTTAAAGTCTTCTCTAAAATATTACTTGAGTCAAAGTCTTAAAGTATCTGATATATTTTGTACTTAAGTATCAAAAGTAAATTTCTGACATAAAATCTACTTAAGTATTAAAAGTAAAAGTACTGAGTAAAAGTGAGCAGTTAGATTTTCCAAAATGACATTTATTGGGAGGTGACTTCTCCAAAAAATATTGTTTTCTAACGGCGTGCAGCTGTGATGGGTTGTGTACAAGCTAATAGTGTGTCAGAATGGTATATATTTATGCTTCTCATCCAACCACAACTAAATTCACTCTATCCAGGAGACACAATTTATCACAAGTATTTTTTTAAGTAATAACTCTGAATAAAATAGGAGTAACGACTTTCTACTTCTTACCTTTTTAAAAAATGTAGAGTAGAAAGTACAGATAATTGTGTAAAAATGTAATGAGTAAAAGTAAAAAGTACGCTGAAAAATAATTACTCAAGTACAGATAACCAAAATTTCTACTTAAGTACAGTAACAAAGTATTTGTACTTAGTTACTTTATAACTCTGCTCATCCAGTTCCATAACATTTAAGTGAAACTGGTTCCTGTATTGTTTCCTCAGAGCAACAGGAAGATGAAAAAAGTGACGATACCAGAGGAAATCAAAGGAAATGAAAAACTCCCCGAGCTGGAAGCTGACAAGAATGCTGGTCAGAAAAGTTCTCGTCGCACAACCAGAAGTAAACTTTGGGACCACCCTGTAGAAGATCTCCCTCTGCTGGACTCACCGTTGGAGGTGGATTCTGAGACCCCCGTCGCTGACGCCCTCATCAAGAGGCTGCAGGACGAGGAGGAGAAACGAGAGGGTATGAAGCAACTCAACGTCGGATTTGAGTTTAAAGTGTCAGATCCTCATTGATTTTAAATAACATGATTAAACTGAGGATGTTTTTTAGACAAAAACTGCAAAATAAAAGTGATCTCTGGATGATGATGAAATTTATTTGTAACCTTTCATGAAAGAAAACCTACAACGATCACTAAAACAACTTGATCTGAAAGTGTAATAATAAGAACAAATACCTGAGTTTAGCCTTCCCCAATGATGAAATTTATTTTTATAGAGAAATTTAAGGTCATTTCATTATTTTTTTAAATAATTTTGAACCACACTTCAAAAGTAAAGTCTAACTTTTGAGGAATGATTTTTTATATATTTTTTTTGGTCAGTTTTTATTTATTTTTTATCAGTATTTTTATTTGTATAGTTAAAAAGTTACAATGAACATTGTCACAAGGCACTACAAAAACATTCACATGCATTATAAAAGCCAATTAGCAAAATCAGTCTAAGAAAACTGCAGATTGCATTAAAGCAACAATTTTGTCACAGTCTCCCATCTCGAGCAGCACATAGGCACAGGGAGGAGGATTCCAAGTTATTTCTATGACCTTTGTGGGTTTTCCTTTTATTTACTTTGTAAAACCTGGATTTTTAGTTTTAGGCTACAGAATAATATGTTGAAAATATATTTTTTTTAAACTCAGGTGGTGTTGCAACAAAGATGTTGAGAACCAGGAACAAGAGTTCAAATTTATCAGCGACACAGGTTTCATCTCAGCTTCCTGGTACTGAACCTGATGAAGACGAGTTTAATCTAGACGAGCATTCATACGTCTACTCGCCCTCAAGACGACGACGAACAAGAGGTGAGCTGACGGCTCATGGCTTTATATTCTGTGTGTGTGTCCGCTGGTGTCATTAACCTTGTGTTGTCCTCGTGTCTCAGCTCGCAGAGACGTGTCTCCTGGTCCCAGCGAGGAGCCTGCAGCGCCTGTCACACGCAGCAGAACGAGAGTTAAAGATGTTGATCTTAAGGTAAGATTTTCTGTTTTTAATAAAATAGATTTGTTCACTTAAAGGGATTCATGATTAGTTGTAACATTAGACTTTATTTAATAAACATATATTTTAACTGTAAAATAAAGACTAAAAATACTGTAGGCTGTTTAGTTTTGTACATTTTTAAAAATATATTTTAACACGGACGCAGCCATTTTATTCACAAGCAAAGCATTCTGGGTAAATGATGACGTGGATGGAGGACAACAGAGCTGCTTCATGGAAGAAGAACCTCAGCTTAGCCTGTTAGCTTTAGCATTAGCGCCGACGCTATATTGCATTATATGTATTAGCTCGGTGCTAGCGCGACAAAACAAGCTAAACTGAGGTCCTCCATCCACCATGTGGATGGAGGACCTCAGTT